TGTCCCAGCGGGTGCTCAGCTGCCACCGGGGACTTCTACTCCTGCAGCGTTTCCTTTAAACATTAACCATGTCCACCCCAGCTCTGTCACAGCTGATGATTAGACAATATGGAGCAAACGGAGTAAAAATTAGAAGGCACAGGTCTGTAATGAAAACCTCCTGGAAAACCAAACGTGTGCAACAGAGAAAGCGTTGACATGAAGATGTTCTTGGGGATGCGGGGACGCGAGGATGAGCAGCTCACAGCAGATTAGTGTGGGGCAGCACGGTGCCAGTACTTCAGCATGTCCCTCACGTACTTCCAAAGCCTTCATCAATTTTAAAATTCCAGAAATGTTCTTTCTTTCTCACTAAGCAGCAACTGTGTGGGCATCCTGAACAGAAGCAGCAATCAAGCTCGAGAAATGGCCTCCTGCCTTACTGCTTAAAGCCCAAACCAGCGTGAATACCACCTACTAGCTCTGTCCCCCTCAGCGTCACTACCTTGACCCTGAATGGCTACTGAAAGAGCATTTTGCTTTGAGTTATTACTGCCTGGTTAATGAAGGAATTATGAATACTGCTGACCTGAACATTTTTGTCAAAACTGATTTTTTTTTCATATCGCATCCATTTCTAGTTAGAATCTCTGCAGAAAACTATTTTTGGTGAAGAATGTCAGCATTTCACATAGAAAATTCATTGTTTCCTTTAAATTCTGAAACACGCTTTAGGGTTTTCCTCCATGCTTTTCTTTTGACACTTAATTATACCAACAGCGCTGTTGTAAATTATACCCAGCTTTTTCATTACACACCAACCAGACGATGCTTTGATCTATAAGAAAATGCATCTCAAACAGTATCAAACAAAGGCCACCCTTAGTTTTCTTAGGGGAAAAATAACAAAACTAGACAAAATATTAGCAGGCAGTATGATTCATTGCGTGTACGACCACCCCGTGATAAGGCAGGAGGAGACAGAAGCACCTCCTGCATCCCTCCAAGACCTTTCATCCAATATCTCAGCATTACTCACGCCCAGGATCGCTGCGCTCCAGCACGGGTCGCTGCTGGGAACTGCTGACGTCCGCCGAGCACGAAACACCAGCCAGCAGGAAGGATGCTCCCGGCAAGCACAGGAGCCATGGTTTCCATTTAGACCCGCATTTCCTTTTCCTCTGGTCGGGAAAGCAGGGTGTCTCTTCCCTCTCAATGTTCCATGTCACCGAACGAGGCCTCTCAGGTGGCTGACACAGCAGAAATGCTTTCTTTTTCCTCCAGGCCTCTGAAGATCCAAGGAGGAATTTCTTCTCCTATGCCCAGGTGCTACAAGGGGACAGAGGAAAAGGGGCTCTCAGATTTACTTTTTTTTTTCTTTTTCATTTTTGCTAGAAGCCAAGATATAAGCAAAGTAAGGAAAACAGACCTAAATCAAATTAAAATCAATCTCTAATAGCAGAGAGCTCCATGCTCAAGCCTCAAGCCCAAAATCCTCCAAAAGTAGAAGGGAAGCTCTTTGCAGAGAGGATCAAGCCAATTGAAAGAGCACTTCAGAAATAAACTTCTCTAAGCACCAGGTCTGTGTGCTGAACTGAGAGCACCCAAGCTGATGCACCCTCCTGCTCCAAGACCCTCATCTTTCAACCCTTGTTCAGCTTCACCCCTCCCCTAGAGACACCTTCCCCCCAAACCAGAAGAGAGCTCCATGACCTTCAATTTAAAGGCCAAGGGCGCAAAGTGGTCACAGCTGCCCCGGTGGAGACGGAGCACACGGGAGGTGCCCAGAGCACCTGGCTGTTTCCCAAATCTTGCCTTGGAGGCTGCTGCCTCCCCAGGCAGCGGGTGCTGCTGTGGCTGTGGTGCTGCTGGTCCCAGGCAAAAGCGACGCTAAAAAGTTGCAGTATCGATACACCCGTCGCTCCCCCCTTGACACGGGGTACCCGGGGATCAGGAGGGCTGGTGGCTCTGGGCTTGCTGCGCCCAGCTGTGGGGCCCCGTTCTCTCCAGCGCCCACCCAGACACAGCCCACTACCTTCTCCTGGAGGTGAAAAGAAAGTGGCCTTGGGCATGGAAAAAAGTTTCTCTCCTTTTTTAGCACCTCCTGACTTTTTGGCCACCATCCATGCAGGACGCAGCAGATGTCTCCGAGCTCTGTCCTGAGCATGGTTTTGGACCTTCTCCAGCTCACCTCTGAAACCTGCTCTCAGAGCTGGATCTGAGCTCCTTTCCAGAAAATTTCCACCTTCTGGGAACCTGGGAGTTCTCCAGATGTCCCCAGGCTAGAGTAGCTCAGCTCTGTCACCTGTGGGGTCATAGGGGGGACCTTACCACCCCATCCCCAGCATGGTGCAGGGGTGCTTGGCCAGACACTGGGGTTTGTGGCCCTGGGATGGAAAACGTGGCCACAGCAGATGCAAAGCCAGCTCCTCCCTCAGGGCTGGGGCTGTGGGTGGCAGCCCAGGCTGCTCTGGGCCGGGAGCCAGCTTGGGGGGATTTGTGGCTGGGCGCCTCTGTCGGGCCAAGGTTTGGTTTGCAGCAGGGCTCTCAGGGCCACTGACCTTCCTGCCTGTCCCAGCAATGAGCCCGATTTCCACTCGGCAGCGATTGCAGCATCAGGTTGGCTCTTCGGGACAGGGTCTCGTTGCCCGTGTACAGGACTCGCCTTTGCCTTGCACAAAGCTAGGGAAGAGCACTATGGATTTCACAGAATCACAGAATCATTAAGGTTGGAAAAGACCTTAAGTTCATCAAGTCCAACCATCAGCCCAACACCACCATGCCCACTAAACCATGTCCTGAAGGGCCCCGTCCACTCGTCTTTTGAACACTTCCAGTTTCTAATAAGTATTCCTGCACCCAGAAAGCATTGACACCATGGTCCTTCCTGGCTGCAAAATACTTTGCATCAAGGTCAAAACCCATGACTAATAACACACTGCCCCAGCATAAGCTCTTGCCCCTCTCTGGGTGCAGCCCTCTCCTCAGACATTGCATTTCCAACACATCAGACACGGCAAGGTGCAACATGGATGTTGCTTCTGTGGAGAAATTTCTCCACTGGATAAATGCTTTCTGTGTCCTCCTGCTGCTGCCAGGAGTAAAGTCAAGCTGTGCTTAGAGAAACCAGACAAGTTATTTCCAAATCCAAGAGGGAAGGTGTCAACTTGTGGTTGTCCTTTGAGGTCAAAAGAGAGCACCAAGCATCCTATAAATTGACAATTGAGTCAGAGTACATTAAATAAATATCTTCCTATTAGTTCAACTCCAAGTTTCCACAGGACCCTGAAGGGGAAATAGTTTTTCCTTGATAAACAACGAGCCACCGTTTTCCAGGTCATCCCTCCTGCTGATAGTGGAATGTTTTAGGCTAAAAATTTAAATTGATTCAGCGATGATCCTCCAAGTATCATTCTTTAAAGGGTCTATTATTATTGCACACTGGAAGAGAGCCCATTTCAGTGAACACGCCCCGTTAGCAGTGATTTATCTGCACTGCCACATTTTTTCATTAATCTTCATTTCAAACTCATTTTTCTCTCCTGTGTGGCCAAGAGGTTCACATTCCTGACGAGCACTGGGTGCTTCCCAGGATGACATTAAATACCCTCATGGCCCACACCAGCAAAACTACTGACCCTCCAGACGTCGGGAGGGTCAACGAGGCAGCCACGGAAAAGCAGCAGCCTACGCTCATCCTGCTGTCGCCGCGCGAAGCCGGCAGCCTCATCAGGCTCTTCACTTTGAGGACCAAGCAAATATTTAACAAGTTCCCCTTGCACTGTACCAGAGTTCATTACCCGGTCTCCTGAGCTCCTTCAGTCAGTAATATCCTCTAATTGATGTGATTTGGCACTTGGCCATAGAGTTAAATTGATTTGTAGACCAGCGGGAGACGGCAGATGCCCTTTACACTTGAGAAAAGTGGCATGTGGCTTTGTTTACTGCCTGCTGCAAGGGGATGCCAGGGCAAGAGCTGCCTCTCAGGAGCACAGGAAGGGGATCTGCCTCCTCGGCGTCCTCTTACCGCAGCCCGTTAGGTGACACGCGACCGCCACCGGTGAGCGCCCGGGGCTCGCTGCAGCCACGACGTTCACCCTCCCTCCCTGACCCCAGGGAAGCTGGTGCACAGGGCGAGAGAAACGGGGATTTCCCCTCCTCTAAAAGCAGGGCAAGGTGCACGCGGTCTCCCCGTGCTCCCGGTCGAGGGGTGCCCCAACACAGACTCCCAGCTCAGGGCTGACGCCAGTCTTCGTTCTGGGATGGAGAGTCGCCTCTGCCTGTGCAAGGGCAGCGGGAGTGGGGACGACCCGCGGGCTCCCGGGCCGGGGGGGGTGGCAGCCGTAGGGTGCAGCCTGCTGGGGTTTATTTCCAGGTGCGCATCGGCGCTGCGCTGTACGGGCTGAGCTCCAAAGCCTGCGCGGATTTGCTTTTTACGATGCAAGAGTTTAGTGCTGAGCCTTGTTCGTCATCGTCAGTTGTTTGCTGGGATTTTTTTTTCTTTTGTACAGTACAATTTCTGTTTTCACTATTTTAAAAGGTTGTTAGTTTGTTTCGTACTTTTTTTACTTTCCTTTCCTGCTGCTTTCTGTTGTATTGATTATCACATTTACAAATTGCTTTGTTATAAATTAGTTTAAGGTGCAGCCACGTAACTCTCTTTCACTCAGGATGGTCTACAAGGTTTTAGCATATAAACACTGTGAAAAAAAGAAGTCAGCATTCAATCTCTGCTGTTAACATCAACCTAGTACTCAGAATATTTAAGTTTAATTGAAAGCTTCTTTTTAGAATTATGAAAAAACTATTAATATAGTAGAAGAGTTAAGAATCTCACTTTCCATTTCAATCATCTTATTCTGAGAATTTTAAGCTAGTGTTGAAATCCTTTTCTTATCGCACCAGAGAGCCACACTCATCTTTAAGATATTTATTGATAATTAAAACCAGTAAGATGCCAATCACTCATATAAAAATAATAAATCTGAATAAAGCAAAACAGCTGCTGTGGGGGGGAGAGATCCTCCTCCTCGGATGTCACCTTACTCCAGTCATCACGGAACTGACAGGGCTGGAAGGATTTTTCCCGAGCACTGGCCAAATCCCACGCGGAAGCCGTTGCCCTGGCAGTAACCTGGGGTCAGAAAACAACAGACAGTTTGTTCTGTAAGGACAACAGGATTTTACCAGGAATAAAAGCAAATAAAGGCATAAAGAGACCAAAAATGAGTGGAAACATTTCAGAAATGCAATGTGGGGTAAAAAAAAAAAACTCCTGGAAAAGTCCAAGTAAGTCCAGGAATATAAAAAAAAAGAAAAAAAGAAGCACAAAATGCTAAACACAGCAATATGCAAGTTCAGTGAATTGATCAAAGAGCAAACAAAATGTGCAATATTTCTGTTTTCAAACCCAACCTGCAGCACCATCAATCTAACTGGCAAGCTGATTTGCTGCCTGGTCCAGCCTTGCAATTAATAAAGTAAATCTGGTTTCTCTTTCTGCAGCATCAGGACAGCTCTTGGGACATCAGGATGCTTATAGCCTGAAAGATGATCATTAAACCCCCTCAAACAGCAGGTCCTACCCCTGCAGAATCTGTTTCACTCGCTAAAATGAAGTAGTTTAGTTCCATGAGAAACTCAGCATCTGACTCAAAATATTTTTATCCTCTATTATATAAGCAGGCATTGAAGGTCTGCTGACTGCTGCTGAAGTTACCGGTCTGTGACAACATCTCCAGGTACAGGACGATTCAATCGCTCCCTACTCCTGCGTGGTGGGAGAGATGACATTAGGACGGAGATGCCGCAGCGACTCTTGCTGCCACAGGCCAGCCGAGCGGCTCCAGAAACAGCATCCATTAGCTAAGCTGCAGGCGAAGGAGGGGAGGGGGACACAGCCAGGGGCTTCTGGCCCATCTGGGAAGACTATTCTGGGAAGAAACAGCTGAGGAGACCTACTGTAGCTCTCCGCTAACAACAGCTGATGAAAGGAAGGACACAAGTGGCACATGCTGTATTTTAAGGACTGGTTTCATAGTTAGAGATGGATTTTCTTAAAATAATGGAATACACCGTCTTCCCTGCATGAGATAAAAAACAGCTGCCTCCCAGAAGCCAAGAGGGAGCTGAACAGAACAGACCTTAACCCTAATTCCCACCCATAGCACAGATCAGTGGCAACCTCCTCCGAGGAAGAGGAGGCCGGGTAGGCTCAGGCTGCAGGGCAGCCGAAGTTATTGCGGCATGAGGACAGACCCCGCCAGCTCTGACCCACGGTGCAGCTCTCACAGCCAGGCTGAAATGAAGTTTTTCCGAGGACAGCAGCGTCTGCAAGTGCTTGTGTAACAGCCTGCCCACAGACACCACCCCAGTATCTGCCGGGTAATCCTCATTCATAAGCAATACTTGAGTAAGACGCTTGCTTTGAGGCTCAGCTCAGTTTCCATTTGTCTCATTAGGCTTCATCACCAGCTTTCCTTGAGCACCGGCTTATTATTTCAGCCCAGTTTAGTTATCCCTGCTGTCAACTACGATTTAGAGCAGTACCAAGGAGCAGCACATTTAACAAAGCAAGCTCTGTGCTGCCAGCAGCATCGGCCTGAGCAGAGTGCCAGGGAGCTACAGAGAGGCTTTTGCAGCTGGCTGCAGCACACCGACCGCAAACCCTCCCTTGCAAGGCTCCCTCCTCGAGATGCCTCCCTTCTTGGGAAAAATATTTTTCTCTCATTTTATGTGTTAGGGCTCCAAAATAGCTCCCACAAGGGGAGCAAGAACAAAAAGTTGAAATAGAAAACTAGAAATTATGGGTTGGGCACTCGGCAAGAGCTAATGGCAGTGCCTTGGGATAATGGCAGTGCCTTGGGAGAGGATGCAATAGCACTAGCCCTGCCTCAAGGGTGCCTTAGGGCACTGGATCTGCCATGCATCACTAAATAGGAGCAGACCCCAAACTGTCCCAGCAGACAGCCCCAGCAGCACCTGGCTCTCATGAATGCTGTGATGCCCTGATCACTACAACCACAAGCTGTTGCTAGTGTAAAACAGCACAGCAGAGTGATCAATGTGAGGCTGTCCCCTTCGTCCAGGTTAACAACAGTCCCACCTTTAAAGATAAAAGACATTTGGGATTTAAAGTATGTATTTAAGGGAAGCTTGTTCTGGGCAAGAAGAACAACACAGGGCATGGTCTAGTCCCATTTGTCCCTCAGCTGGCCACCGTGTGCCAGCAGCTCCCAAACTGCCAGCTGCTCACTGCCAATAAGGATGGCAGCATCTAACTCCAAGGGGACATGCATAATACCTAACTGTACCCTAATTTAGAGCTTCTGGCATAGTTACTGGAGAGGCATCTGCACCTCTGGAGGGCAATGTGGTACTCCGAGCTGCTGGAGGAGTGTCTCTCTGCACTGAATGCATAGGGAGCCTACGGAAAGCAGCATCAGAAGCCTACATGTTGCAGCATGAATTGTTGCTGGGTTGTTGGAAGGCTGAAGGATGTCAGAGGTACTGGTGACTCTTCAGTTTCATCATCCACAGTTCTCTCCAGCACATCGCAATCTCCATTTGTCTCAGCATCTTCCTCTGCAAAACTGGCAGCACCTCACAGAAACATGATTTTCAAAGCTATTGCATAGGCTACCAGACAGGAGGACTGGGGCTCTGGCTGCAGCATGACCAAAACTGCTTAGAGAGCCATCACTGGGAGACTGGAATACATCCATATAATTTTTTTTTTTTCCAACAGAGGTAAGTTCTTGGGCTTTTTTAAAAAGCTTTCGGAAAAAAATGCAAAATTTTAGACTGTTTTGGCAAAAATCCTAAAAGTCTTGGCTGAATTAAGCAGGCACAGTATGTGAACACATACTAGCATCACACCTTCGTGTCCTTCAGGTTGCTGCATAGGCATTAGTCATTCACATTTTCTCTGCCCTCAGTCACACCTGTAAGTGTTTTCTCATTGCTTGAGCCATTTTTTCTCTGTGCAGACTACCTCTGATCACATCAGCATGATGACTACCTCTGATCACATCAGCTGCGGCACTGGCAGGGTCTCATCTGATGATGCACAACATCCCACAAGATATTCTCTAAAAATGCAGTAGGCAACGTGGCAAAGACATAGACAGGCTTGAATCAAAAGCTTCTTGTGGCTGTTTTGCCAAATATTTGCCACCTCAAAGTCATAAAGAGGTTGGTAAGATGACAGGAAAGGAAAAACTAGGGGTTTTTTTCACTAGTCTTTGGATTAAAAAGAAATAGGAGTGGGATTTAGATCACAAACCACCACGATAGATTCTAATTCACAAAATCCTTAGTTTTTCAAGGTGAAAATTAAAACCACGGCCCAGCATGAAAAAGCTCTCAAGCACAGCCCTTTTCAGAGGGGAGCTGATCAGCTGTTCTAGCAGGCTTCATGCTGTTTCCCACATATTTGATTTGCAACACACTTCATTGAATATGCATATGTTACAAATGAAATATTATTTGCAAAATAACTTCTTTCAGCATTTGCCAAGCTCTGCTCCATATGGAAACTCGGACTGTGATGGCAACAACATATCAATTACTTTTAGTCCCAGGGTATTTTCGCCCATAAAGGCAAAAGCCCCATCATTGCTTTAGCACTCACGCACAGCCATAGCAAGATCATTAACTACATAGCAAAGCAAATAATCGAATCCAGAAAGTATTTATTGCAGGGAAATTCCTATCCACCTGCTTTTGCCTCCTGAGAGGTAGGATGGAAACGTGCTCGCATGGCAGGTATGTACAGAACAGCCCATCTCCCTGCCAGGTGCTTACAGGACCAGGATCGGTCCACGGAAACATGTCCTCAGGGCAGTGTAAGGGCAGTTGTTCGGCCATTACCTGTCAAAATGATCTCGTCTCCATCCTGCAGGAATTTACGAGACTGTCCGCTGCCAAGAGGGATTTCTTTTGTTCCGTTCCAGGACAGCTCCAGCATGGAGCCGAAGCTCTCCGGCTCCTGCAGCAAGAGTTCATAAACAAACAACTTTTTAGTATCTGTCCTGCTGTTAAGCTACTTGCTGCTGGAAGCAGACACACGAGTACGTTAGTTCTATAGAACAGAGTTTTGCTGTTGGTTTAATTCATTGATACAGTGGCTTGTTTCCCTGCCTTTGCATTTTAATTGTTTGCTCACTATAAGCAGTCATGCTTACAGCCATTATCTGCTATGTTTAACATAGTGCTAAACCCTGTAAAAGTAGTTTGGGTCTGCTACAGCAAGAATGGAAACAAATCGAGGGCACTTCTACAAATCCAGTGCTTTTATGTAGTCATGTTTCAGAGTTTTACTTATATTTTGTTCTTCGGAAAAGTAAAGCTGGCAAAGGTTTGTAAGTCTTTAATGTCAATCTGCAGTACAATGGTTTAGAGCAAGCAAAAAGTACTTCAGAAATGCTCAAAATGGAAGCACGGGTATCCCAACTTGGAAACAACTTACCCGAGGCTGTCTTTCAGACAGCACGAACAGGATTTATATTTGATGTTTTCAGAAAGCCCCAGTACCTTACCATATATTGCAACAGCTGTGCATATGGCAGTACAAGGGGAAAAACAGCTTGTGAAGTTAGTTCCAGATATGTAGTATTAGAGAAATTAAAAGACATACCCATGCACCTTTTACGTTCTTAGAAATAAAAAAGCTGCATTTCATAGAGGGTAAAACGGGCCATGTGGCTGCTTGTGCATGGAAATTAATTTGCATCTGTAGTAAAATAGTTCTTAGGAAAAGGAACATGGGAGAGATTAAAAAACAGAAAACAAGAACACCACAAACAGCACTTCTCAGTGCAATTTGGGGCTACCAAAGCATCAGCCCAAAGCGCCTAGGAAAGGACTGCAGATATTTTCACAGCTGCTGAACTCAAACAGGGCTTAGACCCAAAGCCCTGCTCAGTCAGTTTTGGATTTCTGACCAGTTCTCCGTGGCCATCATCATTTAAACGCTTACGGGTCCGCTGATGGTGCCGGATGCCAGGAGGTCTCCAGGTCGGAGGTTGCAGCCGTTGATCGAATGATGAGCCAGCTGCTGTTTCATGGTCCAGTACATGTGCTGGCGGAAGGAGGAAGAGGAGGATAAAGCAATGAGGGACAAACCTCTCCGGCATGCCATTAGCCTATGCAGAACGTACTGCGTTCTCGGGATGATGCTGGTAAGACTGACCCTCAAGAGAAGTTTCCTTATTTAACCAGGAACATCCAGCAGCCTGAAAGGAACCTCCACAGTTACTTAGTGCTGCATTCTCAGTAGTTACTGTGGCCTGGTGATTGCTTTCTAAAGGATGACCAGGAGCTGCTACGTGCGTATCAGACACATACTTTAACCTGCAACCTAGTCCTTTAAAACGTCTCTTCTTTCAGCTGGATGTCCGCTCTGCCTCTTCTTCCTCTTTAAGGCCAGCACTGCTAACCCAGGATTCATGATGAAATCCAGTATTTTAATGGGTTTCTAGAAAAATCTCCTTATTACTGATTTGCTGATGAAGGTAATTACTACGCAAAGAACCAAATGTGAATACAAAATTGACTGAGCGATCCTGCAGCTGGTACACACACCTCCTGGCTTAGGATCCCTTCAATCAGCCTGTCGGGACCGAGCCACCACGCTGCCCGCAGAGGGGCTGGGGCAGACCTGGGCTCGGAGCAGCGTCGCAGCAGCGCGTCTGCATCTAAATAACCAGCTGCAGCTGCAAAGCTGTACGGCCCCTCGGCACGGCGGGAGGCAGTTCCCGCTGCCGGCGAGTCCTCCGCGCCCTGCCAAATGAGCACCCAACTTACAATGCTCTGAGCACCCTGAACCGAGCAGCGGAAAGAGCTGCCCCCTTCCGCAGTGCTCCAGCAGTCAGAGGTTTCCATCTCGGCAGGGTGAACTATCGCCACTCGCCACTCTTCTCCCTCTGTCCCCCACGCGCGCACGCACCAGGTCTGATCTTCAGCTAATGCAAACACCGGTGTTTGAAATCACCTAAGGCTGGAGCTGATGGCGTCGGCAAGATTTCAAACACATAAAAGATACGGGAGTCTCACCTTGAAATTGGATCTGCATATAGTAGTTGGCATGCTCATTCCTTCTCCTGCAGAAAATAAAAAATAAGAAAGGGGGAAGCAATTTGTTTGTGTTGGATGAATGATGTTGGAGCCTTTTGATTTTACAGATGGGTGGAGACTTCTTTTATCATTGTAATCCCTAGCAAGAAACAAGTAATAACTTTTTCCTTCCCATAAGAAGGCCAGCATTTCATAGAAAACAAGCGTGTGGATGGCACCGGGGTAGTATTGAGGTGCCGATTTCCCACTCTCTGCTTTACTACAGGAGCAACACCTGGACCTACCAGTCAGCAGGGCCATGAGCTGGGTTAACATCTGAATCTCAGCTAATCTGCTCTTTCCATGTCCTGCTTACACCTGCCCATGCAAGCAGACCCCACAGGGACCCTCCTCATCATAAGCTGATCATCTGGGAGGAATTCCCTCCTTGACACATTGCTGCATGGCCAACGGGGAGCAGGAAGAGCTTTGCTTCTTTCTTGGACAGATGCAAAGATGGAAAAGGAGGACCGCAGAGCCAAGAGCAAATTGGCCGAAACGTGGTAGTTCTGCATCCCTTAATTGGCAATTTCAGCTTTATAACCCCCTCAGCATTACTGTACCTTTAATAGCAACAAAGAGCTTGATGTCAAAAGTGTAGGGTTCTTTATCCTGAAGGTAGGGCAGCGGCTTGGGATCCTAAAAGCATATAAAAGGCATCACAGTCTAAACAAACAGAAAGGAAAAATTCCACGAGCCATCCCAATGACTTTTTGTTCAACCAGGCTGTGCTGCACACCCCATTTACTTCACCATTGTTACTGCTCAGATTATTGTTTTTCTTGCTCTCATGCACACACTTTTAAAGATCTTTCTAAACAGATTGATATCCATTTAATCAGATTCCTTCTTCTGCATGTGGGCTCCAAAAGCCCTCTCCATCATTATGCCATGGATGTTAATCCAAAACAAATACAGTGCTAGTGCACTTTTGCTCTGTGCCCGCACAGAGAAGATGGTGAGTTCTCTGCAGGACTCTTTATTATCTTTTTCCATTTTAACTAAACGTTGACATAATGCAGACAACTGGAAATGCTTGAACAAAGTGTTTTGGCTTGAGTCCGTTCTTTCTCCACTGCTTGCTGGATGCCAAGGGCTACCAAACACTAACAAGAAGCTCTCTGATCAGTTTATTTTCCAGATGTTTTGAAGATGATTTTTCTGCCCTGCTCAAGCAGGCAGGGTGACAGCTCAGGGCACCATGTGGCAGTGCCTGTGACATCAATGAGCATTTGAACACAAAGGGCCCAGGGTTTCTTCGTATGTTTGGAAGCAGGATCACACCAGTAAACTCTATGAAAAAAGTGCTTGGCACTGATACAGCTCAGTGATTTCTACTGATGGGACCTACCAGTCCTGCTGGGATTTTTCTAGCCCTGCTTTTCCTTTGTTTCAACCCTTTCTCTTGCTAACCTGGACAGGGTTTGGCAACACAAATGGCATGAGAGCTTCCATGGTAACAACCCACGGAGAGATGGTTGTGCCAAAGCTCTTGCTCAGGAACGGACCCAGAGGAACGTATTCCCATTTCTGGATGTCGCGGGCTAGGAAGAGAAAATTCAAAGCAATGCAGTTAAATATGCTCGAGGAGCTGCACAGCCTTCATGCCTTTGAAAGAGTAACACGGGTCTCTGCACAGCTGTAGAACCAGCTATGTGGACTTGGAAAAGTTATCACCATCATTTTCCAGCCATTGTGCCCAAATCCTGATTTAAATCCGTCCCTTTCAGACCCTCAAACCAGTTCTCTCAAACCAACTACAGTAGAAATAAAAGTCAGCAGTAATTAAAACAAGTCAGGCCAACTCCCTATAACCCGTATTTTTATCCCGAGTATAGTTAATGCTTTTACACCCAGCTAATGGTCCGTGCCAATCGTAGGGCCATTTTCAACTAATTAACTATGCTTTTGTCTCCTTAAATCTATGCAGAGACCGAGGGATTTGTGATTGCCAAATCCTTTTCCTACTCCTGACACTGAAATCAATCCTCTGTTGAAATCACCATCCTTAGGGCTGCTCCATCCCTTCGCGGAAGAAACTAGACTGATATTAGCTCTTTCATAAGTAAATAAATCTTCATTAGGCAGCAATTTCTGGTTCTACTGATTGATTGAAGATGAATTGAGACAGAGCCTCAGAAATGCAAACAGCATTTCATTTTCACCCCTTTCAACCATATCCAGTGGTTTCAATGATCACTATTCTATTATTAAAATACATAATTTATCCCTATCCAAGGCTTCCCGTGACGCTGTAACCCCCTCTCCAGGCAGAATCCCGCAGCACCGATTACCGCTCCAGTCATTCATAAGGACCATCCCAAAGATGTGCTCCTGGGCTCTGCTGATAGGAATTGGCTCCCCATACTTGTTTCCAGGACCTACAAAGAACGCCTGAAATTAAAAAGCAAAATGTTGATTAAGGAAGCTTTTGAAGCTAAAAATCTTACTGCACAGAGGGTTACGTGCATGAGCAGCAGAGGCTGGACAGGATGGGATTTTGCATCATTTCCCATACACAGTTAGACAAAACCTGTGGCCTACTCCCTCTTTGTTCCCTCCATGAAGTTGGCAGGCCTGAAATACTTAAGAGCACTGTGTTGCTAAGAGACAGTCATTAAACATGGGCATGGCTGTGTCAAAGCGCAGGAGCAAAAACGGTCCCTCCTAATCACAATCCGGATGCAGAACGGGTTTGCCTACTGAAGTGATTCTGTTTGCTGCAGGCAGCGAACAGGAAAGTGTTTAACGTCACCCGAGGGGATGCTGGACGCGGCTGGAGCCTGTCGTGACCGTGGGCAAGAGGAGGCAAGTGGAGAAATGTGCCCGCTAAGTAAAACAGGTCATGAACTGGGTGCCTGCACGGGCTCGCTTAGGAAATGCACAGCCTGAGCCCTTGGTGCACAGGGGATCTCAGTCATCCCCTCCTGTGAACAGTATGGAAGTTGGTTTTTTCGAAAGCCTTCACCAACCTAAACCCGCCTGCACAGCAGCCGGCAGCAGAACTCCGGCTGCCAAGCACAGCTATGGCAGCACTCCGCGTTCCCCACTTTATGGGACTGCCTCCCACTTTACAGCATTGGTCTGCAAAGCATACCGCATTAAAGGCTTTCAGTTCATTTTTAGTACCGTTTCCCTTAATATTAGGCTTCTTCCACTTTTTTTTTTTTAACGGGGAGAGATGGGGAATAAATCATATAAAAATGATATAAATCATATCAATCACAATTAACGATCCTATAAACTTCTCCCTTCTGGACCACGCTAAGCCATGAGAAGATGCACCTTCCAAGGATGTTTTGTTACAACACCCACAGCACAGGTTTCATCTTTCCAGACTGAAGGATGAGGTGTCTGAACTGCACTCCCAAGGACTCAGGGCTTCCGCTGCTCTAGACTCAAGGCGCAGACAGCTTGTACTTCCAAAATCCCCAGTGTCCATTAAAAGATCCTGGCTGCAGTGCAGAGGTGGCTGCTAAGCAGATAACAGGCTGTGTTGTCTGATAAAAAGAATATGCTTGCCTGCTTCCAGACTGGGGCACTGGTGCTCAGATTTGGCCAGACGAGCTGTTTCCAGCCTGAAAGCAGTATTAGCAAACCACTCAATAAGCTAACGCACCCTAAAATTCATCAGAAAGGAAGGTTTCCACCACAGAAATCTTTATTGCCTGCTGCACAGACTGCTCAGAGGGAAGCACAGGAATGGACCAATGAGCCATTCATTCTTTTAGAAGAAGCTAAACTTACCTTTCCTTTCCTGTTTCTACGTTAATGTTTTTCAGATGGTAGGGAAAAAAAGGCCCATCTTACCATTTCTAACTCGATATCCAGACGCTTACAAGCACCAAACACTGGAGGTTTATCTGTGGGTAGAAGAAAGAGTAATTTATGACAGGGAGGAAGGCAGAGAAATAAAAAGTAACAGCCAGAAGAAACAGAGCAGTCGATGCTGCCTGGCATGCAAACACAAGATGGACTTGGCTCGGGGCTTTCTCATGCCTTGACCCCAGGCTGGGCTTTACACAAGGCTTCCCAGACCCTTCCTCTCCACTGTTCTACCATGTGGAGGAAAAATCAAAACTAAAAAAAACGAGAAGCCACATTAAAAGCCTACTGCGGACTCACCATTGTCAGGTCTCATTTGCCCCACGGGTCTCCGGATGGGCGTCCCAGACACCACAACGGACGATGCCCGGCCGTGATAACCGACGGGTAAGTGCAGCCTTGTGAAAGAGCATCACAGAGCGCGGGTTAGCTGTGTAACCATCGCCGTCCAGAGCAGATTTTTGGGGTGGAAGCACCATGGGCATGCGAGGTACGAGGAGAGAGCTCTGCATAGATTGGCACAGACACTTGCACCTTACTTGCTCCGAGATACAGATGTGAACAAGCCCTAACCCAAAACCACGTAGCTGTCTTAATGCACTTCCGTGCCACTGCTCCACCCAATTCTTTGGAGCCTAGGCCCTGCTTTCTCGTCACTCAGCAAAAACCGATTTTTTAGGTAAATCTGTCTTTGAACCAGAGGGCTGCACTGCGATGGGTGCAGCTGCTGCCACACAACGCAGTACAGACTCGGCTAAGGCTGGGGACATGCGGTTTTCAGTTCCGCTGTTCAACTCTTGACAGCACAGGTCCTCACCTGCTCTGGACTCAAATCAGACGCATCTTGCTGAAAGACTACTCAGAGCTTTAAAAAATTGCATACACGTACAGATAAGCATGCAAGTAACGCCGCGCCAGAGAAGAACCTGAACTACCCACCAGTTGGGCATCAAAGCATTCTCCTTGCCCCTGAACATGATCCCGACGTTTGTGGCGTGTTGGCGTGAGGAATAGAAGTCAGTGTAATCTCCTGTGTGGGAAGACACCCATAAAACAGGGATCGACGGCAGGAAAGGCCCTGACCCGCTGGGGCCAGAGCGCACCGCGCGCCGCGGGCAGGGAAAGGCAGGAGAGGGGGCGGCGCGCGCGCTCGGCAGAGGCACGAGGCAGCTAACGTTACTAGTGCGGGGACGCACGGAGCAGCGCACAGGCGGCGGCTTGGCACCGCTCACCTCCGAAATAACGCGCACGGAACTGGCCTTTCGGCCTGACGGCCCCGCGCAGCGCAGCGCGGGGGAGGG